TTTTTTTGTTGTTTTTACTCATCTTTTTTGGCCCTTTTCCTTTCTTTTAAATTTGAGCTCTCCTCCCTAGGTGGAAAGGGCTGTAAGTCCTGGTAGTTTACCTGGTGCTGTTCTGACGTAGCTCTGAGGCCCTCATGGCTAATGCTGGGTTGAGGGGGTGTAGTAGGGAGTAGTTGGTGCTGCTGGAGGCCACAGGGGTCTGGCAGCTTACCAAGTGCTGAGCCGGGGTCCTGTTAGTGTATGGCGTGTGCTGAGGCCAATGGAGTGTTTCTATATTTCTCCAGGGCTACGCTGAAGCATGTGGCGGGGACCCAATGTTGACAGCTACCTGTTTGCTTGGGAATATGCTGAATCACATGGTGGTTATCAGAGCTAGAGTCTGCCAGTTTCCCTGGCTATGCTAAGGCACATGGGGGGGGAGGGGTCCTGGTGTTGGCGTTTGCCTGCTCCACCACACTGGGGATCAGGATCTACTACTGGTTTGCTGAGGTGCAACTTGCTGCTGATTTACTGGGATGCTTCCCGTCCTACACTGCATTCCCCTTTTACCCAAGTGAGACACTTTCCTTGCCAATCTTCCAAATTTCTTGGCTAAAAGATTGTTTCACCCTGTCTTTTTGCTGGTACTGCTGTTCTAGGATTTGTTTTGGGGCACTATTTTATGTCTGTTTGGACATGAACATGGAAAAGTTACCGAGATTTAATGCTTACTCCAACATCTTCCCTCCAGGGGTTTATAATCAAGTTGGAAAGATAAGACAGGTACCTGTGAAACAGTTAAACTAAGTTTTATCTTGTTAGCAACTGTACTTTAAATGTCTCACCAAGACCATATTCAAAAAATGAAATGAAAATGATTCTCAAAAAAAATACAAGTACTGCCCTCCCCCCAACACGCTGCTACGCTATTAGATAACAGATGGTGCTGGCAATGCTCTGTTGGAATACTGCCTTCAATTATCAGCCTAGTTACTACCAGCAGATGGGTACCAATGTAGGAAAGCCAAATGCAAGAAAAGAGAGGATGACTAGGGAAAAGTACTTGGAAACTTACTGGCAGCTGTCTTTTCAAGTATATATTTTTAATTTTGTTACTAGGATGAAATCTGATCTAACTTTAATCATTTGTTTCCTAGCCCCATCCCTTTATTCATGAAAATAACACTACATTAAATTCAGGTATCTCAGGGATAAAGTATCAACTCAGACTGTCAACATTATCTGGCTGATGATGTTTCTGGGTAAAATTAAAATTTTATAACAAATAATTAGAAAAGTATAGTTCAATCATTACATAATAGGAATTTTCACAAATAACACACCTCTAAACCGAGAAAGTCAATATTCCTTATTCAATCCAACATTTAAACATTAGCTGGACCTCTCTGATTAATAGTAAGAATAAATGGATGATCCAGTTGTTAAACAGAGCTTGAAGTTTTGTTGAACTATAAACTAAATATTAATATTGTGCAATAATTTTTTATCCTGAAATGCAAATATATCAAATGTTACTTGTTCCAAAGGTCTCAATAGGGATGAGGAGAGACTGTCTGAAGTAAATGTATTTGGAAAAGCTAACATATTAATGCACAAAGAATTTTACCTGCATCTGTATTTTCCCAAAAGCTTTGTTGAAAAAAGTCAATCTCAAACATAAGATAATTTCATTTTCAGTTCTCCCTCTTCTGGAATTACCTCATCAAACTCTTATTTATAAGAAGTATAAAGCTAATCTTGGGCCCAATAGTTTAATAAGGATATAAAGTTGTTATGAAATCCAAGAATTTTAAAAGGGCAAGATTAACAAAAATGAACATCTGAAAATACAATTTCAGGCTGGCATCCATAAGCAATTAGTTTCAGTGTGGCTGTAGCTACTTTAGACTTGATTGGGTAGCTTGTCAATAACAATGAGATAAGTATACAAGGATATATTCTCCTAGGCATCCTCACATAATTTGCAAAACTGGGTACTATCCTGGAAAAACACAACAAAAATCCCTATAACTATGTGCCAGCACTAGTATTCAGCAAGCAAAACTACCCAGATTCAACTATTTTTAGGAGAAACAAGGGAGGCATCATTTCCTAAGGCTAAAGAAGACAAATTTTAGTTTCTATTTGGTACTTCTCAACTCCATCCATGAATAAAATTTAATGTCTCCTGATGGAGAAAGGCTGCATCATCATGGAAATGGGGATTGGAAGGGTTATTTTTCTTCCTATATATCTCACCCATTCTTATGTGCCAAGACAAACTCCTCAGAGTACTCAGTCATTCAGATTTCCATGCCTGGAAAAGTCCCCAGGCAAATGTTCATAGATTTGGATTGTCAACATGATAGCATTTTACTGCACTACATCATAATGCTACTGAGTTGGCACTGCAACCTGGTTGAATAGTTATTTCTGTATTATATCTGATTTGATACTACAGGGTAACTTTATCCATAATTAAACCACTAAATTGCATTTCTGGTATTGATAGCTTCTCATTGTTAAGTACCACATTAATTTACTGAATAGGGACAAGAAAATGTTCAGTAGAACTTTAATATTATTTCTGTATCCATAAATCTATAAGTATATTAAACTTTACACTTACTAAGAATTAGACACAATTTTAAATGCAATTACCAAGATCAAAAGGACAGAAAGACATTCAGCATTTAAAATATTTACTCTACATAAAATATGCCTCCTGTACTCAATTTGTTTTGTTGCTGGTGGTAAAAATGATTATTAGCATTATAGCAGCAAAAACCAAGGGGCATAATAGCTGTTAAAGAAGCAAACAAGCAAAACTTGTTAAATCATTTTTCAATCCCAAATCATAATTCAAAGTACAATTAATCTGTCATCAATCTCCCCTAAACCCTATACCATTGTATAAGGAAACAATGTTAAATTATCATATAAAATTTGGATTTGGTTTTGTAGGAAAGTTTTTTCTTAGACATTAGAAACATCTGAAACTAGAGTATAATTGCAGCTAGCTATCTACACCAGCAAATCATATGTTGGGCAAGTTAAGATATAAAAAAGAATCCAAAAAAAAAACTGCAAGAATGCCTAAACTGCCACCATGATTTGGCCAAGCAGACAAATTTTATAAGTGTTTTAACCATCCTAATCAATCGATCACTTTTACAAAATGTTTTCACCAACAGCCAGTAACATCACATGATGATGGCCTCAAAATACAGCTCACAGAGGACACTGCTCGGTGCCAATCTGCCTGTGGCTATGTCAGCAGAAGCATCTGTCACTAGATCCCCCTGGCCAAAAGGCAAACATTTGTTTTCCTGAAACAAACACTTCCATTTCAAAATGTTTGCTAATGAAACCAACATATGATTTGAAGTTTTCTCTACTTTGAGTTTGGCAGCTTTTCACTTACTTCTCCATACAAAACACTCTTCAGGAACCACTTAGTTCTATCCTAACATTATATTTCTTGGGCACAAAGATTTTAAGGTTTTCTTTAACATGCATATTTCATAGCTTTAAACTTCCATGTTTCTCAACAATTAATAATTCAGGGAAAATCTTAGCTTGCTAAAACAAAGTACCTGAACTATCATTTAGTTTAGTTAGGAAACTGAATCCTCTTCAAAATTATTTAATCGCTAATAATAATGACTAACATTACATGGCGCTTACTATGTGCCAGGCACTGGTCAAAGTGCTTTATAATTGTTATCACCATTTTATAGATGAAGAAACTGAGGCAAACAGAGGCAAAGTGTGACTCGGCCAGGGCCACACAGTTAAAGAGTGCCTGAGGGCAGATTTGAACTCAGGTCTTCTTGAGTCCAGGACCACAGCTCTATCCACTGCGCCTTGAAACTGTCAGAAGTTCTTCAATAGAGAAAAAAAGTGCCATTCTTTTGCTATTCCTTTCTTTCAAAATTATGTTTCAACAATTTCAATACTGATTCACAGTTCTCTCCAAATTGCATCAGTTTACTAACTGCCTCCAAATGACTAAAGCCACAAAATAAAACTCCCAGGTCTACTGCATAAAACCAATGAATTATCAATTAAAAGTATGTCAGTAGAAAATCATACCTAAAAAAACACACCAAGTTGTTCCTAATACACTTGCAATTGAGAATTTTTCTACTAACCAAACTTATAACATAAAGAAAGCCACGCTGACACTAGAGAAATGGCACTTACACTGAGTACTAAAGTTAAATGGTACTCATAATAAGTACTAAGGTTAAATTCCTACACTGTACAAACCATAAGGTTATTTTAAACCAACTTTTAACAGTGAATTTCATGCTTAACAACCATGTTCACGTAAGCCACTGTTCCATTTACATCTATGAGGTTTCTATTCAACTGAATGCAATAAAACATTAAATCCTACTACATGCAAGGAACTTTGTACAAAAACAAAATGACCCAGTCCTTGCTCTTTAAGAGCTGGTATATGGATAAGTACAAGGTAACACAAGGAAGGAGAAGACCCTTAGTAGCAAGAGGGGTCCACTTAGGCTTCAAAGAGGAAGTAGTACCCAAAGAGTGCCTTGAACAGTAAAGGGACTTTGAAAAGCAGCTCAATAACATGGTTCTTCTATTTGACAACTGAAATAACAGTTCTTGGAATTTCTATTACTTTGTATGAGTTTTTATCTTTTATATTTCCAAACTTTCTTTTTACCTCCCTCCTCAAAAGGTCAGGCACTTAATATAAACAAAAGTTATGCTCTTTTAATGTAACTTATGTATTTCTATAATTTCTATAGTAACATTAGTAATTTTTTCAAGTTATAAGTCATGAGATGAACACATGTTTTGGTAAACTTACTGTGCTACTTTTTGCCTGAAAACACATAACCCACAGTTCTAAGATACACAGAAAATAAATCTGAAAAAAGAAAAAATGCTGCCCCCTATAAATACAGCTGTAGCAAAATATGCAAACATTCATCACTGACCCCAGGGGTCTGCTCCATGGTGCATCATGACAGTTACTTCTCGCTTACCTCTACGCTCCTCCTCAGTTCATTTTCCTTTGTCTGACTTGTCTGCAATGCTTGTTCAGTTCTGCAGAGCTTCTGCTTAAACTCGTCTGAATTTCTCTCCAGTTGCTGTTTCACTGCTACCACCTAGACAAGAGAAGAGCATATTCTATTTTTTCCTTCCTTCCTGACAAATAATACACGTAATATGATTTATTTTCTATATTTATTCTTGAGTGGTTGAAAGAAAAACAATTACCTTAGAAAGCATGAATTTACCAAAACAACAAAATGAGAAAACCTAAAAGTTACAAGGGACCTTAAAATCCACTTAGTCTAGGCTGCACCTGAACAATGACATTATCAACAACTGTCATAAAGGGTCTGATGAAGACCTCTAAGGAGCTGAAACTCACTATCTCCAGAAGCAATTCATTTCATTTCTAAATAGTTTTCATTCCTAGGAAGTTTTTTAAACTCAAATATATCACATATTTCATATCAAATTCACATATTCAATAATATTTACAAGTGTAAAAATTAAAATGGGAAATTTGCTTCTTAAAAGTTCTTCTATAGATCTACATATCTCATTCCCAGACTGTCCCAGCTCATCTTTTTTCCCAGGACTTATAATACTGACTTCTTTTACACTGTATTTCTCTTACTCAGTTCTTCATTTCTAACATTCTGCAACCTGCACACTCAGCATTTGCTTCTCCAAGATCATCTAGTTAATTCTCAATTTCAATTCTTTGAAAACTAGAATTCAATAACCAGCCTTTCTCATAGGTTGATACTTTCTTTCCTTTTATTCCACCTTTTATTCTGCACTTTAAAAAACGGAGTTTGTTTTGTTTATGACTACTTCCTCACCTATTGAGCCCCCTTGTCCACATCTCTCACCTATTTCCCTGCTGAGTTTAATGTATTTAGGTACCACTTTTGTGTGGAAAGATGTGTTCTCCCTTCATCTGTTAGGTTCATCTGATACCATTTTTCCCACACACAACCATGTTTGTACCCTAACCTTGTGAAAAAGTGAGTTCCTTCCCCTTCTTTCTTTCCTCTTAATATATTCTTCTTTCCTTCTCTCTCCTTCTGCTCCTAACACCATTAAAGGAGAACAAAACCACACAAAGGCATTTTGCCTGTCTTACTTAACTTTCTCAATAACCTGAAGACATTAGAATTCTGGGAGCAAACTTGTTTCTGATCACCCTATGAAGAATAAAAACAATCATCATCTTACAGTTTCTTCCAGGTGATCAATATATTTACTATTCTCCGGGTCTTTTATTTTTTGCATTTTGAAGTCAATACTCAGTTCTGGCCTTTTCATCAGAAATACTTAGAAGTCCTGTACTTCATTAGTGATCCATCTTATTCCCTTTAGGACTACATGCAGTTTTCCTACATAGTTTATTCTTGATTATATGCCTTTATCTTTTGCCTTTTAGAATACTGTATTCTAAGCTCTTCTCTCTGGCAGCTGACAATTCTTCTGTGATCCTAAGTTCTTTCATCCTTGAAATCTTTCTCTTTGGCAACTTGTAGTAATTTTTTTTTAGACCTAAAAGCTCTGGATTATGAAGTCACTGGGAAGTTTACTCACTGACTCAGCTATTAATATTCCTTGTCGTACTTTGCTGCTTGGCTCATTTCCTTTAACATTACATTTTTAATGTCATTAATTACATTTAATGTCATTTCACTTCTTCTTTTAAGTCTTATAGCCTGGGTATTTTTTTTTCTGAAGCCCTACTTGGGCTTCTTCTGACAGATCAGAATCTCTATCTCCAACCTCAGTTTCTTTATTGGGGTTCTGTGACTGGGTCAGAAATTGTTCCCTTCCATACCCTTGGATGGTGTGGGCAGGCTGTGCTTGGTCTTGGATATAAATGCTATGACTAGGTCCTATCATCTTCAGAAATTCCAGGATTTTTGGCTCAGTCACCTGGTGGTTTTGCCTTTGCCTCATTTCCCCCTCTCCTCTTTACAAAGCTCTGAAGCCTGAGTTAACTCTGTTCCTTGCTCTGAGCCTGATAACTGCACAACAGATGTTGTTGGGTATGCCAGTAACAGGCGTCTCTCTAGAAGAGCCCAGGTGCTGACCTGACACTACCTTCTCTGATGGCTTGGGTAGAGTGAAGTCAATAAGCATTTATTAAGCACTTTCTATGTGCCAGGCCCTATAATAAGCACTAGGAATAGAAATACAAGCAAAAATAAAGACAATACCTACCTTTAAAAAGCTTAAATTTTAATGGGGGAAACACAGCACATAAAAGGCAGCTGAAAAGGAGTTGGAGGGGAGGTATCCACATGGTGGTAAAGTAAGGGTCAGATGCAGAATTAGGAGAGGAATAAAGGTTAGCTAGCCTGGGCCCTTCCTTAGAATGAAGGTTCCAAGAATAATTCACTAATGACAGAAGGGACTTGAATGTGGTCTGGCTGTGTACTCTACTACCTCAGGCAGGACTGCCTGGACACTAGTCCGGCCCTGACTCCTTCCTTGGTTATTAAATGCATCCTTTGCCTTACACCTACCCTGGCTCATTTTATGATCAGGACTTCCAAAAGATTCTGGCAATATTTTTTTCAGACCTGGACTAAACACTTATTGATATTTCCTTTATGGTCTCCTTTATCACTGGCTCTATTTCATCTATTGTTAGAAATTTACAGGGGTAAGGAGGTCACTGAGAAAGGCAAAGTCTCCATATACACCAAAACAGTGTTAGCAAAGAAGTGAAAATAGATAAGTAGATGCCAATCAATTAGGGAATGGCTAAACAAACTGTAATTTAAATAATCTGATGCAGAGCAAAACAGAGCTAAAACAAAATATATAAAATAACTACAACAATATAAATGGAAAGAACCACAAAGACAAAAAAAGGAATTAAACATGAGGTGAAACCTCAGAGTAATGATGATGATCACTTCTCTTATTACTAATGATTAGAGCATTCTTTCATGTGACTGCTCAGAGTTTGCAATTCTAAGAATTATTTATTCATACCCTTTAATTACTTCTCTAATGAAAAACAGTGCACCCGCACGTGTACGTACGTGTGTGTGTGTGTGTGTGTGTGTGTGTGTGTGTGTGTGTGTGTGTGTGTGTACATACTATCTATATCTTGGAAACCTAACACTGCCCTTATCAGAGAAATTTGATATGAAGATTTTTTTTCCACATGTGACCACTTCCCCTGATTATCCTAAATGCTTTAATTTTGTTTATGGGAAAGATATTAAGATGGTCAGATGCATTAGGAAGATTATTTTGGCAGCAATTTAAAAGATGGATTACAACCAAGAAAAACTGGATAAAGAGAATAAATACAGGTATTCTGAATAGAAACAAGTCAAGGGAGGAAGGAAAATCAGTATCTTGATCTAAGGACTAGAGTCCATGGAATCTCACCCCAACCAGTCAAAAGCATCAAGACACAAGGCCAACACTCAAAGATCAATGAACAAAGAAAACGAGGCTAGACAACACACATACATCGCGGGTCTTCTAAGAGGCCTAAAGCCAGTGTTGCACCAGAGTCACAGAAAGAGACAACACCTGCACAGCTCAGACAGTCCCAATACCAGTGTGCTCTAAGAGGCCAGAAACCAGTGATCCTATCAAAATAACCACAAGAAACAGGTCCAGCAAAGGAAGCCAGAAGTAAGTCGGGGGAAGGAGGGACTTAGGCAGGATCTTACAAGAAGCCTACAAAAATTAAGAGACTAAAAAATATGTATTAAAAGGTAAGGTATCCACTATAAAAAACTAATCTAGAAAACACACCTAAGAGCTATATAATTTAAGAATCAAACTCCTACAAGGGCAGCTAGGTGGCACAGTGGACGGAGCACCAACCCTGGAGTCAACAGGACCTGAGTTTAAATCCGGCCTCAGACACATAACATTTAATAGCTGTGTGACTCTGGGAAAGTCACTTAACTCCAACTGCCTCACCAAAAAAAAAAGAAAAGGAAAGAATCAAATTCCCACAAAAACAACTAAAGTTCACCTTATTCCACCTCATTCCAGAAATCTAATCATCTGTCAAATCTTTCTGTTTAAACATCTATTATACAATAGTATAATTTATATGGTTACACAATAAATAGCTTGACACACAGATCCCTTGTCACTTCTTATTTCCTTTTTTTTTTTAGGCAGTTGGGGTTAAGTGACTTGCCCAGGGTCACACAGCTAGTAAGTGTGAAATGTTTGGTCTGAGGCCGTTTTTGAACTCAGGTCCTCCTGACGTCAGGGCCAGTGCTCTATCCACTGCACCACCTACCTGCCCCTACCCTTGTCACTTCTTGACTAGATTATTTTAAAAGTCTCATATTTGGTCTCTCCACCTCAAATCTCCCCCCACTCCACTTCATGTTGCATAATGCTAAAAAAGTAATTTGCTTTAAGTCCTATTTGACCATGTTATTTCTTTACTCTATCAAATCCATTGGCTCCCTTTTGGCTCTTAAGATAAAAGGGAAACACCCATGTTTAGCTTTTAAATCCCTTCTAAATTATCTTTATAATTATATATCTCATTACATATTACTCTACCTCAAATGAGATAATATCAAATGAGAAAAGAATAAAGCACTTAACATAGAGTCTCACACATAGTAAGCATTACATACATAAAAGTTATTAGTGGTAGTATTATTATAATTATTGTTATTATCCCACACTTTTGGATCCTGCCAGGCTAGCCTTCCTGTACCTTATACTTCACACTATACCTGTCTACATGATTTTTACAATGGCCAAACCCCTATGCCTAGAATTCAATGTCTCATTATTTCAACTTCATATAATCCTTCTCTTCCTTCAATTTACAGCTCAAGCACCATTTTCTGAAATCCATTCTAATCTCCACCCAAAAATTAGCCTTCCCTCTCAAACTACCTTGTTTTTGATTACTTTGTGTTACTTATATTAGCTTTTTATTTATTCTTTATGTTTTATGCATACTTATTATATGCATTGATAAAATGTAAACACATTGAGCAAGAATTATTTCATTCCTCGTACTTGCACACCAAGCACCGATAGTGCCTGCCATATAGGAGGGGTCTAATGAATACTTGTTGATTTTTGACCAACCATAGGGAAAAAAAAAAAAGTTCAGTACCCCCAGAAAGCACTGGCAGTACTTCAAATAATAAAAATCACAACCATATAAGGCCTAAACGTTCTATACAGAAATGTGCAGAGGCTGACCCTACCACCAAAAAAAAGTCTCAAATAAAAAATAACACTGATGATAGGATCATTATGGAGCCACGGATAACCAAGACAAAATCCAGAGGAAGCAAACAACTAACTCCACAACATCTGCAAGAGATATCACCCAAAAAAAAAAAAAGAAAGAAAAAGAAAGAACAAAAAAAAAAGGAAAGGAAAAAGGAAAGGGAAGGGAAAAGGAGAGGAAACTAAAGGAAAGAAAAAAAAAACCAACAGTCTGGCCACAAGGTCAATTGGAACTCCTGGAAGAAATGGAGCAAGAGTTTAAAATCATATTTTAACTTAAATTAGAAGCAATAAAGAATTAGAAAAGAAATGAGAATACTAGTAAAACTTGAAAGAATTAACTCCTTGGTACAAGAGCTGCAAAACTTTATCCAAGTAACAGACTCTGAAAACCAGAATAGACAAACAAATGTTAATTATTCTACAAAACAATAAGAAATATTAAGACAAATTTAAAAGACTAAAAAAATTGGAAATATAAAATAACTCTTATCATAAATAACAGACCAGGATAACAGGTTTAAAAACATAAGGATCAGATTACTAAAAAGGCAAGATCAAGAGAAGGGACTTTATATTTTAAGAAATCATGACAGAAAACCAAAGAGGCCTTTTAGAACCACAAAGCTACAAAAATTGCTATACTGTATATATCCTTTAATCTAGGGACAACAACATTAGGATTAGATTCCCAATGTGATCAAAGAAAGAGGAAAAGGATCTATGTATAACATAAAATATTTATAGCACCTCTTTTTGTCTGATAAATAATTGGCAGGAGATGCTCATCAACAGAGAAATGACTAAATAAACTGTGGTAAATGAATGTAATGCAATGCTATTATGCCGACACTGGGAAGACTAGTAAGGACTGATGCAGAGTGAAGTAAGCAGAATTATATAATTTAAAAAACTGTCCCAAGAAAAATAACTCTGAAAGACTTAAGAAGTCTGGCCACTGCAAAAACCAACCAGGAGTCCAGATAATTGAGGGATGAAGCAAATATTCACCTCCTGACAGAGAGGTGGACTCAAGATGTACCGATTCATTTTTTAGATACGACTAATGCAGCAATGTGTTTTGCCTAATTATGAGTATTTGTTACTAAGGTTTTGTTTATTCATTTGGGGGAGGGGGCTGAAAAGGTGAGAGGAAGAAAAATATTTAATTGAAGAAAATGTATAACAAAATATGTTTAAAAGAAAAAAAAGGAAAATAGAATCCCTCATATGAGATAATATTTGTAAAGCCCTTTCTACAGTTTCTGGCATCATAGTAAGCACTACATATATATCCTTTTCCCCTACCTTCGTGGAAAGAAACATAAGTTGAAAACACAATCGCCAAAAACTAGCACCTAAAGAGTTCAAGATTCAAGGGGCCCCACTTAAGACCACACAAGATTTGTCAGCTACCACTATGAAAATGAGGAAAGCTTGCCTCCAAAAGGCAAAAGATAAATGTTTATAACCAATGATAAGCTGCCCTAAAAGCAAAGTATAATTCTGGAGAAAAAAATGGTACACTTCAAAATACAAAAACAAATACAGAGAAACATAAATGTGCAAACAGAAGGGATTAAATAAGAATGATATCCACCTCCAGACAGAAAACTAATGGACTCAAGAGTGCAGATTGAAGCATATTTTCCTATCCTCCTTTATTTTTCTTTTTACTTATTTTGGACATGGCTAATGAAGTAATGTTTTGCATGACTATACCTATTTGTAATGAGTTTTGTTTTTCTTGCCTTCTCAATGGGTAAGGAAAGAGAAGAGAACTCAGAACAGAAAATAAAACTGAATTTTTAAAAAACAAGAAACTGAGTCCCAGAGAAATCAAACCAAAATAATCTATTTCTCGTTTTGACTAAAAAGGAGAAATGTTGAGGAAAGCATAAAACAATCTTCCTAAGTGAGTTCAAGGTACGGGCAGGATTTTTTTAAAGGCTAGGGTACAGAAGTGGGGTTGTAGTGAGACAGAATATGAAGATCAACTTACTTTATCAAGTTCAGCCTGCAATATGTTTTGAGTGCTTTTGGCTTGCTGTAACTCTTGGTTTAGTTTGGCTTTTATCTGAGTGCTTTCCTGGTCCAGCATCCGAAGGGTACGTTGCTGATGAGAGAGTTCCTAAAAATTAAGAGAACAAAAATAAATAAATAATAGCTATTGTTCAGGAGAAGAGAGAGTTAAATAAAAAATTATTTAGTCAGTACACTGAAAGAGCTGTAGACAATAGGGAGCCAGACTTCACATCAATTTTATAAGAAAATATAATTAACACTAATACTGGTTCTGGTAATCAAATCCAGGTCTGTTTAGGTAGGGAACAGACAAGTAGTAACACTATATAAGCAGTAATCTAGATTCAAAGTAGTCTGTTAGCCCTCTACTAGAATATTAATTTAATTTTCTTTTCTATTTGAAACAGTGCGCAAAAAGGAGCTCAAACACATAAATACAGCTGAGATTACCAAGATTAACCCATAAATGTAGCATGTATACTGAGAGCACATTTAATAAAAATATGAGGAGAGAACAGAGAAGCTTATGAAAACAATCTACGTTAGCTGTCATATAACAGACTAGAGTTCAAAGAATATAAGACACTAACCATATTTATAATTTAATATAAAAAATGCATTTGATTTGGCAGCTTTAAAATATAACATTAAATGAATGGGGCAGCTAGGTGGCCCAGTGGATAGAACTCCGGATGTATAGTCTAGAGAACCTGAGTTCAAACGCACCTCAGACACTTGATACTTACTAGCTGTGTGACTCTAGGCAAGCCACTTAACTCTGACTGCCTCACCAAAAAGCCAAAAATAAATGAACATTAAGGACTCCTCTTTCCATGCACATTTAGATTACATAGGATTAATTGAAAGATGAAACAGAACAAATTTATTCACAATCCTGATTAACAAACGAGACATAAAATGAAATGTTTGCTCATCAAAGGTTTAGGTTATCATCACAGAAGATGATGTCCAGCATTAAGTTCAAACAGAAACAGTCAATAAGCATTTATCATGCTAGATGCTAAATATAAAAGACAAAAATCAAAACAGTCCCTACTTTCAAGAAGCTTACAGTTTACCACAGGAAACATGTACACATGCCAATATATACCAAAAAATAAAAAATCATGTATGGGGTTAGGAGAAAGAGAAATTGAGAATCATATGCCTGAAGTTAAACTTTGAAGAAAACTAGATATTCTAAGAGGTGGAAGGGAATAATGAATGTATTTCAGGCACTGAAGACATTATGTACAAAGGCAAAAATGGAAGGCGGAATATCACATGAGGAACAGAAAGGCCAGTTGCTTAGACTTCAACACCAGTGTGTGGCCAGTACTTCAGGAGCAAAAGCCTGATTGGGAGCTGCAACCCAGAAGTACCAGTACTGCAAAGCTTTGAACTGCCACAGATCTTAGGAACAGAAGAAATGGGACAGGTCACTAGGACAGGACACTCTGCCTATGGGGTGCTGTGCAGGACTCCACCAAGCCTGAGAAAAGAGCCTAGCATCCAGATGGAGCCAGTTTGGACCACCCAAAAGTCAGCTGGGACACAGAACTTTGAATTGCCCATTGTGGCTAAAAGCTAAGAAGCTTTGAGATCCATCCCCAAGGAAACCACAATCAGAAGGCAGGGAATCAGGAAGTGAAAGATAAGGAAAATAAAAGGGGGTGAGGGTAGACAACTGAAAATACCAAAGATTTCAGGAAGAAATCTCAAACAGAAACAGAACATAAACAGAAAAATCAACAAGAAAAACAGTAACAGAAGGAAATATGGCATCCAGATCTAGTTAAAAAAAAGGCATCTATAAATACAGCGAAATGAAGGAAAATGATCCAACATCATATGAGAAACAGGACCCCATGGAATTTGAGAACATGGAATTACAATATGTTGCTCTTGAGTAGTTTAAAAGAGAAATATGAATTATGAGAACAGAATTTATGTCCTCCACAGCAAAAATAATGAACAGAATCAAAAAGTTTGAATCTGTAATGAGAGGCCTCACCAAAGAAACAAAAGAGCAGACAAAAAGATTGGGAATACAAATACACAGAAGTGAAGGACAACCTAAAAGAAGAGAAGCAAAAAATAAAGACATGTTCACTATGCAAGCTATAAAATACATAGATATTGAAGACAGACTAAATAGAAACAACATAAGGCTCATAGATTTCCAGAAGAACACACAACAGGATAAAAAACCTTAACACCATAATGAAGGAAATGATAGAGGAGCACTGCCCAGAACTTCTGAACACATAAAATGAAATTCCAACTTAAAGAATTCACAGATAGCCTCTAGGAAAAAAAAAACAAAAACCACAGCTGCAAACTCCAAGACTCATAGTAGTTAAATTTACTGATTCAATGCAGAAACAGGTTCCACAAGGCATCAAGAAAAAGACCAAATACAAAGGAAAAGATATTTAAATAATGCAATATTATTCTAAAAAAAATGAAGGAATGGAATTGTACAAAAGAAAATTAGAGTTCAATGAGGTATCCGATAAATCTGAGCTAAACTGTACAAGATAAAAAAAGAATATTTAATAATAAAGAAGAGTTTGAAACATTTTCAGAAAGAAAATCAAACCTAAGAGATTGTTTGCTTCTTGAACACCCCAAACAACAGAATTGCAGAAAGAATGAATAAATTACAGATAGCAACAGCAACAGTGACTTTAGCAAACATACAAGAGGTTGAGTAATATGCATCATAAAAGATAACAGAAATAATAAAGGAAAAAAAGAGCTAATGATGCAGTGAAGACAAAGGATAAAGTGATGCATAATTCAACATACATTGTGGCATCCATGTATGTTAAGAAACCTACAAGAAAACTCCCAGCAGAACTGATAGATGCCTAGTGGTAAGAATGTAACAAAATGAGAGAGCACGGATCCATCTGAATCAATGGAAGGAGTAGACACATGGTGAGATTACAGATCCACTGAAGATAGAAGTAAACAAGAAACTATTCAAAAAGTTCAGAAAAGTAGAAGTTGTAAGAGCCACCAATCCACTCTGATAACCAGAATAATCACAGATGAACATTTAAACTGGCTATACCACAAAGAAACAAATTATGCTAATGCACAAATCTAACTTAAAAGAAGCAAACTGTCAAGTCTCCCTATCATAGAGTCTGCTCTGCCCTTTCCTTTAACAATCCCCATGTGCTTTTATGCAAACTCCAAGCTACAAAAGCTAGGAAATGTACTACAATTTATCTCACGGGGGCAGGCCATACAGTTAATCATGATTCAAAAAGGCAATACTGGTTTTTCTTATCTTCTAACAACTCTCCAAAGAGACTGAAAACAACAAATAGAAAGGATTTTTGCTTGCCTATTCTACTAACTACTCTGGGAAAGATGTGAAAAGATGAACATGAGCACAAAAATAATGGTAAACAGCTGACTAGAATCACAAAACCATTTCTCCAGTTATCATATCACACTATGTTGACTTCCCTTTTTTTCCCGAAATCTCATGCATTAAAAGTGCCATGACCACCAAAACCAGAATGTATTCCAGAGAGATGCTCAAAATTATAAAGCTACCTCCATGTACAAATGCACCAAGAATATTAAATAGATTGTTCTTTCCTCCTTACCTCCTGATAGTCCTTCTCTTTGTCCTTGATCTTCTGTTCCAAAGAGCATCGGGTACTTTCCGAATTTTGTCTTTGGCAACTCAAATCTTCAGACATTTTTTTCAACTTTTGCTCCAGTGTTGTACACTACCAATAAATGAAATAATTCACTAAAATATAAAAACTTCAACTAAATCAAATAAAGAAAAGTGTTTTTTTTTAATTTGGGTTTCCTTTTCTTGGTAATAATAATTTGTCCTGAGTTTTGGAAGATACAATATGAAATATGAAATAAAATACAGACATTTCTTGCTTTACCTAAGGGGGCAGTTAAACAGACTTCTTTGTAAAAACGATTTTATGCAATGCAAATTTGCCCACAGGCATAGGAAAAGGAGGCAGGAAGGAAGCTGCACCCATGAAGAGAGGGGACCCGCACATGGTTCAAGGACATGTGGTGGCCAGGGGCAGAGAAGCAGGAGGAGGAACATTCAGGGGACCAGAGCCAGCCACATGAGAGCCAGACATAGACACAGACAGGAGAGGATGAGTGAGGTGCAGGGGCCAGGAACAGACATGTAGTAGCCAAACATATACGAACAAAAACAGACATGTCCTCTCTCAGTGCTGGAAATCTCACTCCAAGCCCTAAATTCAGTGGTGGTGGTCTTTCTACCTGTCTATTCAGCTTTCACTTGGAGGGATTTTTGGGGCTTTTTTTTTGGGGGGGGGAGGCCAATGAGCACCAAACTGATACTGTATAGTAAAGTTAATACAGGGTTTGGGAATGAGAATCTCTTTCAGAATTCTTTACATAAAGTCAAATTTGCACAGTATGAATTTACATAAAGCAGGAACTGTCTGTAGTTAACCTAAGAGAAAAACCTAAGGGGCAGCTAGGTGGAGCAGTGGATAGAACACTGGCCCTGAAGTCAGGAGGACCCAAGTTCAAATACAGTCTCAGATCAAACACTTGACACTTAACTAGCTGTGTGACCCCGGGCAAATCACTTAACCCCAATTGCCTTAAAAAAAGAACTGTCATTTTTCAGTCCGAAATAGAGAATTTCAATGTCAGTTAACAAATCAATATAAACCAAAGTGTACAGTATTCTAGTTTGTTAAGCGAATCAAGTGAAAAATCTACATTTAAGCAAAATGGATTTTTTCAGGACACTCCTACCGCAGAGTGCATCAGAGAAAGGACAAGATAAAACGGGGTAAATGGCACCAAAGAGCTTCTAAGTTAATTTATATGGGGGCTCCTTTACTTTCTTTTATAATTTTGAGTCTGATATCTTAGCAATAGTCTAATATGATAATCTCATATATTATAGAGGATTTTAAAAACAGCTTCCTAAGTTGATTTATACAGGGTCTCCTTTCCTTCCACTGATCATTCCCTCTCATCTTACATAGCTAACATTTATACAGCGCTCTAAAGTTTGTAAAGCACTTTATAATTATCTCATTTCATCTTCACAATGATTCTGCAAGTGATATTATTATGCCCATTTTATAGACAAGGAAATCCAGACAGAGGTTAAGACTTGCCCAGTGTCACACAACTAGTAAGTGTCTGAAGCTACATGTGAACTTAGGTCTTTCTGATTCCAGGTCCTGTACTCTATCCAAAGGGTAACCCAGCTGCCATCTTCATTATCTCCCTATGTACAGGATTCATCCTTGATAACAATAAACCTGCCAGCTCCCACATCCTTAAAATGACCCTACCATGCCCTGAAATATCATCACTTTTCACTATCAATTAACTGGAAAGAACTCTCTGTACTCCCTAAATTCATCACCCACTTCTCAATTCCCTGTAATCTTGTTTAATATAACCCCTTCCTCCACTACTGAAATTATTCTCTCAAAGGTTACCAATGATTTCTTAAATGCTAAAACACATGGTCTTTTGCCAGCCCTCATCTACTTTGAGACCTCTCCAGCTTTTCTACTTACTGGATACTATCCCTACCCCACCCTATAACCCTGCCACCATTAGAGACCTGGGTCCAAAATCCTGCCTCTAACACTTATTCAGTGACCTCAGACAAGTCATTTAACATCTGTGAGTCTATTTTCTCATCTGTAAAATAAGGTTAGACTATGTGGCCTCTTTCTGCTTTCTATCTATAATAATCCTGGGATCCTATATTCTATCCTGGCTTTCCTCCTACCAGTGATGACCAATCCTTCTCAGTCTCATCTGCTGGATCATCATTCTCCTCACACCTGGTACTTCCCAAGATGCGGTCCTGGTCCTCTATTCTTCTCAGTCTCAATCATCTGTTTCCACATGTTTAGTTATCATATCTACACAAATAACCCCCAAAACTACATATCCAGCCCTAATCTCTCTCCAAAGCATCAATACCATGTCAACCCACTGGTGAACATATCACCAAGACCTCAAATTCAACATGACTAAAACAGACTAGATCCTCTCTACTCCAGAGCCAAATCTGGTCTTCCAAATATCCATTTTGCTGTTAGAGGTACCACCATAACCTGTCAGCCAGGTTCCTAATTTCTGTTGTAGGTATCATCATCCTGCTCAAAAGTCATTCAATTTCCTAACCTCGGTCACCATCAATTCTATTATCTTTCACCTACTCTCATTCAGTTATCAAGTCTTCACTACCTTATTACAGAAATACAGAGACGGAAAAAAGTTCACGGACTATTGAGTCCAATCCATATTTTAACAAGAATCCCCTTTTCAACATCACAAAGAAGTGTTTATCCATCCTTTGGCACCCAGGACCTCCAGAGAGTTCTAATTGTTAAAGTTCTTCCTTACATTCAACTGAAAAGAGTCTCTCTGAAATTGACAACCATTGCTTTTTCTGCTATCTAGTGTCAAGTAAAACAAACCTAATCCTTCTTCTAGGTGATAATCCAACTAACTTAAGATACCCTATCATGTTCTCTTCTCCAGACTAAACATTCCTAAGTCCTTCAATTAGTCCTTTTATGGAATTATCTCAAGGCCCTTCATCAACTTGGGCACCCTTCTTGTGGAAGCCCTCATTCGAATCAAAATTAACAAAATAAAAATCCATTTATTAAGGGCAAAAATCACTAGACATATTCAAGAAGAAAATATATATTCAAACCAAAACACTAAAGAGGAGACAGGTGGGAAGGTAGACGAGGTTAACCTCAAGGTTTCCTTCTAATTCTAAGATTTTATGATGTCTATGGAACACTGGAAGATCAGCTGAGCAGTTTAATTTCATGTGAGTCTAAAAATTATAACTTCATATGTCCTGAGGCTTTCAAAGCTTCCCTATAATCAGCTTTATCCGACGTGATTACTAACATTTACTTAGTGTCATTTGTTGTACAATCCTTTTGAAGAGAAATGATGAATGGAGTAGAAATTTTAAAATAAACCCCCCCACCCAGAAGTACCTTGGCAGTTGCCTGATCAAATTGTGCTGTTAATCTCATCAGTTCATCCCTAGTTTTGTTCAAAACTTTCTCTTTCTCCATTAAATCCAATTTTGTTTTCTCTAGTTGGAGCTGTGTTTCTTGCCATTTGTTCATGTGTCCTTTTACGTCTTTTTCTTGTCCTTGCAATCGATGTTCCAATTCATTAACTTTGCACCTTAACTCTTAAATCACATACACACACACAAAAACACAAAATAAACACACTGAAAACTTTAGATTGACAATATATCTTTCACTTGAACCTTACAACTTACAACTTTACAAACTAGTTTGCAATTAATTAGTTTCACCTTAGACCACTTAATCTGAATGCAACATTAAATTACAATATTTTCTTTTCTTTTCCATTCTCTCCCATATTCAACTACCATAAAAGAAACAAGATAGAGTTCATATTTCTACACAAATGAAAAACATTTAGAAAAGATTTTCGACTACCAAAATTGTACTTTTAATTGAAATGTGCCTTTTCTCTGAAGCATTTCAGTGTTTCTACATTGTAAAGGAATTGCAAAATTAAAATATATTGAGCACCACCCTCTCCATAGGCCTCATTCCTTTTCCTCTCCTAGAACTAAGATGTGGCAAGGAAACATGATCTTCTATTCAAGTTCCTGGTGGGAAATGATGTGGTCAGAAACAATCTAAGCACATCTGTGGGACCCTACATTTTGTGGACCTAGTTAGCATCTCATTATCAAAACAACATGTACCAGTCTTACAGACCCATGGAAATATCCCGACACACTATTTGTGATAAACTTCTTTATCTGAAGCCCTATTTGTCCAAAATGTGCAGCTGCCAACAGGTAAGGCTGACACCCAGTGCCTACAGGATGCAGCATGGAAAGAGGATATGTAGCAGAAACAGTCACCACTGTCGTCGTCGTCACCACCACCACCAGCCATGACACCTGACTTTAGCCCCCAGCTCATTCTTTGTCTTTAGCTTTTTTCATTGAGACTGAGGGGATGGGAGTGGGGTGGGGAGGACGACACAATAACCTAGGGGTGAAGTTATCCTTTCTAGTGAGAGGGCGAATAGAAAAGTAGGGCATAGGGCAGCATAAAGTATTCATTGTGCCATCTCCAAACCCCACCCCATTTCCTTTCTCCTTGCTGGCAAAGTGAGGAGAAAGAAGAAAAGGTCTGAGGGGAATGATAATGTAAGCCTCTCTGCAGGACAGGCAATGTGTCACAGGCCGGGGAGTGAAAAGAACCTGTCTAGCATCAGGAATAAATTTGAGCAGGGAAGTATGGCATGGGGAGAAGTAAACTAAAACACTAAAAATTACAACCATATGAGGCAGTTAGGTGGCATAATGAATAGAGCACTGGGCCTGGGGAGTCAAGAAGACTCAAGTTCACATCAAGCATCAGACACAAGCTGTTTGACCTTGGACAAGTCACTCAAACTCTGTCTCAGTTTTCTCAATTGTAAAATGGGGATAATAGCACCTACCTCACAAGGGCATTGTAAAGAACAAATTAGATGGTGCTTAGTGTCTTGAATACAGTAGGTGCTATCTAAATGCTACTTATTACCCTTATTATTGATACAAGAAGTACTACACTGGTAAAATTTAATATTTTTGCATCAAAAAATTAAATCTAAAAAATTAATTAATTCTAACTTATCTCAGGTAGCTATCTCAATCAAGAAGCTAAAGAGGTTTCTGTACCTTCAAAATGACAAAATTAGAAATCTCCGATCTCCCCTCCCCATACACCTATACAACCACACTACCACCAAGAACACACACTTGAATCTAACAGCATTGGACGTGCATGACATTTCTCACATCACTGAAATCTTGATATCATGGCATTATGAAGACCATTGTGAACTGGTTGCAGAAAGCAACTGGGAATTCAATACTCAAAATCACTACACTGTACATACTCTTTGACCCAGCAATATCACTTTTAGTCCAATGCCCCAAAGAAAAATGAAAAGGAACTGATATGTACAAAAATATCTGTAGCACCTCTTTTTGTGGTGACAAAGAACTAGGAACTAAGGCGGTGCCCATCAATTGGAGGATGGCTGCACAAATTATATTAAGTTAAATGTAATGGAATAATATTGTGCCAAAACAAATGATTAAAGGGAGAGTTTCAGAAGAACCTAGAAAGATTTATATGAATTGTTGCAACGGGGTGAATAGAATCAGGAGAACAACTAATACAAAAACAAAAAGATGTGAAAGACTTAGGAACTCTAAATAATGCAATGACCAATCACAATTACAGAAGTCCAGTGATGAAGTATCCTACCCAAATGTCCTAACAGATGTGATGGATTCAAAAATCAGAATAAGATGTTTATTTTTGGACATGGCCAATGAGGGAATCTGTTTGGCTTGACTAAGCATATTTCTTACAAGGATTTTGTTTTTCCTTCTTTTTTCAAATGTGGGAGTAGTAGGTGAGAGAAAGAGAAAATGCTTGTTACCTGAAAAAAAATTAAAGTTCAAAAAATAAAATATTGTCAAGCTCTCCAAAGTAATAACAGGATACAACGTATAGTGAAAATTTTACTGGCTAGGAGTCAGAGGAGACCTGAAGTCTAATCCCAGCTCTATTATTAAGAAGTGGGAAAGAAAGATCACTTCATTTTGATGTCAGTTTCCTCATCCACAAAATGAAGGGATGTTATTCCCAACTTTAAAGGTGATGTCTCAGGCCCATTCTAACACTTGAAACTTTTTGATACTTCTAGTAAAAGTTCTAGAATCACTTTTTAAAGTTTTCTAAGAATCACACTGCAAACTAAACTTTAAAAATTTAATAATTACCTTGATTCTGAGCTTTTATCTGATCCAGCAGGTGAGGATTACTCTGGTTCTCATGGAAACTACAATTAGTATCTTTCCTCTCCATTTCCCAACTTGACATCCTATTAGGTGTTGTGTCTTGTTCCCAAGGAATGTGCAAGGCAGTAAGACCTCTCCTAAGGTGAGTTTCTTGAGCGTTGGCTGAATGATGAGTGGGTGTCTTTTCTTGTTGCCATGAGAACACTGATGAAGAAGACTGATGCCGAGCAATTTCCCTATGACTCATGGTGTTTGGGAGAACTGTCTTACTTGCTTTCTGTGAAAAGATAATAAAAAAACAGCTAAAGACTTCTTTTAAAAAGCCTCCATATTGAAGGCTGCTTATCTTTAAATAACAGTCACAATCATTGATGTATTATCAGATTCCTTAAATAACCAGGTTTAAATTACCACTGAGAATCAAAAATATCAACATCGACTTTCTTTTCTACAGATCAGCTGTATCAGCATTTCGATATTTGGGAGAGAAACATCTATAAAGCACAATGCTAGAACATAAGTTGCATCCAATCAGACCAAGGTATAATGCACAAGGAACGCATCAAACAACTTAATTTTCAAAAATACAGACGATGCAATGAGATCAAGTAATAGTATGATGTCACACAGAAGATCACACCCTTGTTAACAGGTAGGCTAACAAAGTTTAGTATGCAGCTGGACAATCACTCCTTTTGAAGGTGAATCCCAAGGCAGTAATGGGCACTCTGATATACTTATAGAACCGCTATATCACAACTATGAAGTGAGGCCTCTATGAGACTTCAAAAGTGGGGAGAGGGAAAAAAAAAGTGGGGAAAGAGGATGGATCAAGAGCACTCATGGCACCTGGGTGCACAGTGCCAACAAATTTAAAGAGAAAGATTTGGGACAACAGAGCTGACCAAGAAATACAAGGAGGACATACATGGGAGTAAGTGAGAGAGACATTCACTTCTACACAAGACATGATTCTCATCCCACAGTGGAAAGAGATGGACAACAACCTTTTATGTCCAGTTATCTTGGAGCAAATCTGGCTCTTTGGTTTGGCAGAGCTGGCAATTACAAAGACTTGCTTTGTCACAATAAGATAGGCCAAATGGTAATACATAAGACCCTCCTTAATTTCTTCTGGAAAGGAAGTGTTTGTGTGCATTATAGTTTCCAATTTAAGATATAATATAGCACAGATACAATAAGTTTCCCCTTCAATAAACAGATTAACTAGATCTAGGTGAAAGTTTAAGAATCATCCACCAGGTATGCGCCACATTCCTGCCACGTTGCTGCAATCCACCTTCCCCTTCCACTCTGGGGCCCTGCGGACCTATGTCATTGGGCTGCTCATACCTCTGTACTTGCAGACCCACTATGAGGCACCACAGCTATCTTTGTGCCATGTCACCCTTCTCCTCAGATTCACAACTCCAGCTCTAGTCATGGAGACTTGTGTTCGTGGCTGGTGAAAGTTCACCATATCTGGGCGCCCCCCAGACTAACCCTAATGTACTCAGATCATCTTCTGACACCATTACCACTTAAAATGTCACCACTAACCCCCCCACGTTCCAAACTCTTGGAAAGGATATGGTTGATCAACTGTCCTAGGAATCAATTCACTCCACCTGTGAATCCTCTGGCCACGACACCCTTCCCTGGCCACAACTTGCCTATATACTGTCTCCCCCTAATGCAAGCTCCTTGAGAATGAGGCCCACCATGCCTTTTATATTTGTTTCTCCAGCATTTAATAAGCTGCTTAGTGCACTGTAATCATTTATTAATAAATGCTTTTCATTCATTAATTCATACATGTAAGAGACTAAGTTTGGCACCTGGCTCTCAGTGTCAGAACTGATAAAGCTCAGAATGAGCTGAAGGTGACAATGACAGCCAGTAAAGAAGCGTTTGTTAGCTATACTAAGAGGGGAAAAAAGAGGCCCAGCAGAAAGGGAAGACCCATCACGGGAGGGGAAAAAATATGAAATGACAACAGAGAAAAGGCAGAACTAGAAATGATCAATTTTAAATTTTCATTTTGTTTTTTGTCTGCCAAGTAGAATAACCATGCACTGAAAAAGAGAATGAAAATGGCTAAAAAGGAATCTTGGTACACAAAGGTAGTAAGAACATTTAGCTGCCCTTGATGAATTTAACTTCTCCGACTTGAGTGAACTAAATCCTCTGGGTATTGAAAAAACTGGCACTACTGCTGATATCTGAAAGATAATGGAAAATAGGAAAGGTACTATACAACTTGGAAACGACAAGAATACCAATCTTCAAAAAAAGAGAGAACCTACAATTCTGAATTACCTAAAGTTTCTAACCTACACTCCCAGAATTTGTTTTGGGGGGGGGGTTTGATAAATATATTTTGATATAATTGCTTTCCATTGTAACCTCGAATATTTTATCTTCTGCATTTAAAAAAATTATGCTGAGAAGTCTGTAGGCTTCACCACCAGACTGACAAAGGAACCAAAAACAAAAAAATGTTAAGAATCTCTATAGTCTCCCTGAAGGAAATTCTACAAGGGATCAATAAAGAGATGGTTGGTGAACATCTAGGAAAAAGGCAATTACAAAGAACCAGGATAGCTTCATCAAGAGCAGGTTATGCCAAACTAATCTGTTGCCTTTTTTGATAAGGCTACAAAACTGGCAAATCAGAAGAATGCTGTAAATATATTTTACCTCAATTTTAAGGAAAGCATTTGACAACGTTTTTCATACCATTCTTATGGAAAAGACGGAAGACGCTGACTAGATAATATAATTAGCCAGATTTGGAACTGCCAAGTAGTAGTCACCAATGATTCAATGTCAACTGGGCAGGAGGTCTCAGTAGAGTACCGCAGTAATCTACGTTTGCTCTGTTATGCTTAAGAATTTTATCAATGAACTGGATAGAGGGACAGACAGTATCCCTGTCAGATCTGGAGATTATACAAAACTGGCATGTTGGACAACAAAGTCAAGACCCAAAAAGATTTCAGTAGGCTAGCATAAAGTCTTCGGTTTAAAAAAAAAAATCAACTTCACAAATATAAAATGGAAGAGGCATTATAAGAAAGCAATATGCCTGAAATAAATGTGAGGAACATTTTCTATAAGTAACAAAACATGTGAAGCAACCTGGTGAAGTTAACAAATCAAGCCAGCGAGAGCTCAGCCTTCTCAAGCATTCTTCCATTTGTTACATCTCACTGTCTAGAAAAATAGCTCCACAGTTGAATTTAAGTATATGAACTAAACTCTGGGTTTTTTTTTAATGTTTCCATTAGGATTTATATGTGGGGATAAAGACAAACTAATCATCCCTGTTATTATCCTTAATTTCTTATTTTGCACCTGACTCTTAAATAATTCCCATTTTTCATATAAAATAATGTACATGACCAATAGCAAGTAACTTACTTTTCTAAGTAAATAAAAATCTGTCAACAACTGGGGGAAAAATACATTCTAATCTTATACTAAACTATAACAAAACAGGTTTTTTGAGTTACATATTTCAAAGAATTAACTTACTTTAATTTGTAAAGCTTTTACTTCTTCCTCTAACCTTTTTCGTTCTTCAACTTCTTTACTGTATTTTTCTTGTAGTTCTTCGTACTTGGAAGCTAAAAACGGATGTGGAATACAACTAATTTCAGGAATAGAATTTCAGTTTAAAAAAGTAAAATCCGTTCAAGTATCCATCCCAATACTTGAGAATCTAAAAATTAACATTTCAAATTCCAAATGAAAACAAAATGATTTTGTTACAAGAGAACTATTAAATTACTCAAAAGAACTTTAAAAATATATATAGAATGAAAGATGCTATGAACACAGATTTCAGAAAAACTCAAGGGCTGCACACAAAAACCATCAAAATTCCTTTAAAGACATACAATGTAAGATTAAAGGTCAGATCTGAATTTTTAATTTCATAACAAGACCTAGCTGAATCTTTTATAAACAGTTATATTTAATCTTATCCATTTAAATACATGAGGTTAAAAAAATAAACTGAAAATGTACTTTTTTTTTTGAATGAGGCAATCGGGGGTTAAGTGACTTGCCCAGGGTCACACAGCTAGTAAGTATCAGGTGTCTGAAGTCATATTTGAACTCAGGTCCTCCTGACTCCAAGGCCAGAGCTCTATCCACTGCACCACCTAGCTGCCCCTGAAAATGCACTTTTCAAAATTATACAGCTAATTACTACAGTTAGAGTAAGGACTGCGATTAGGGTCTCACAAATTCCTATTCAAGGATCTTGCCACTACAGTTTCACAAACCTTGTTCACTGTAGAAAGAGAACTTGGAATTAAAAAAACATAAAGATCTGTTCTTTTCAAAACTGCAGTTTTTTTTTCATTCTTTTATTTACTTCGAAATTAAGTTAGTGAAATGCTCTGACCTAAAATCTGAGATTTTTACTTCAATGTTCTCACATCCTTCCTTTCAGGGAGAAAGGTAAATAGTATAAATACAAGCAGCTGGTGGTGCAGCAGATCGAGCACTGAAGCCTACAGTGGGAAGACCTGATTTCACCTCTGGCCTCATATACTTCCTGTGTAACCCTGAGCAAGTCATTTACTAACTGTCTGCCTCAGTTTTGTCAACTATAAAACAAAGATAATAATAACACTTACCTCACAGGGTTGTAGTGAGGATCAAAGGAGATAATATTTGTCAAAACTGCTTAGCTAGCAGGGCCTGGCACATAGTAGGCACTTTATAAATATTTATTCCTTTTCCCTAAGCAAACTTGAATTAATCAACTATCTTCTTCTGTTTAATTCGTGGATACAGATGCTTAAGTGTGAGATTGTACACTGCCAATAATTACTTGTGAGGATAGATTTACAAAGCAGCTGCTTGTAAAACATGTATTATAGATGAGAAATGTTTTTCATTTGGAAGGAGGGATGGGTTTTTGTTGTTGCTTTGTTTTTTTTTTCTGGAAGCCATTGCAGGAGAAGAAATATATGAGCTATAAGAATAGGTCTCTAAAACACCTGCTTGCTAAAGTTTGGAGAAATATCTTGTGGTGAACACAGAAAAGCAAATATACTCAAACTACATCAGTCAATCAACAATTTCTGTACATTGCTGTTCTAAGCTAGAGGGAATTGTGATGAAATGGTCATTCTCAAAATGTTGCTGGAAAAGACATTTTGTTATTGCTGTATATGTGTTGTTGTAAAATTGTGGGGACTCTGGAGAGACACCTAGGAGAAGGGGAGGTAACAAGATGGGAAATGTAAGCTATAACTCAAACTGAGCAGAGAGAAGTGCTCAGAGATGGCAACTGGGCTAAGACAGATGTGAAATGTTTTACAGAATCCAGCTGATGTCAGTCTTTGCCAATTATTCAAATGGGCTAAAAAATAATATGGCCTACATGCACTCTGATCCCAAAAACTGGTAGCAAAGACAATAAGGACAAGAACTTTGCCCTGGAAAATAACAGAAGCTAGAATTGGCCCTTAGAAGGGAATAATTAGAGGCTAGCTTCTTCTCTAAAATGAGCATAGTAGGCTGAACATAAAGAGATAATTTAGGTAGGAGCAAGAGCAGGTTAGTTGTGCCAACCAAGATCCTCCATTCTGTTAAACAAATTCTTTTTTTTTTTCTGGCCATTTCCCCTTTATTCAGTTCAAAAACTATTTATTATGCTTTTCCTTGATACTATGTTTGCAAAGTACTATACTAAGCCCTAGGGACAGAACTACAGAAACAAAGCAGCTCAAGAGAAAGAAGAGCTTGTATACATGTGTGGTCCAGATGGGGAAAATGTGGGATTTCTGGAAGTCAGACAGGACAAGTAGAGATGGGTGTAGAGGGGGAAAAAAGGCCTACTGCAAATTTGATGTGTGTGCACATATACTCAGTCTCTCTCGCACACGCATATACACACATGCATGCACACACGCAGATGCAAACAATAAGAGAAGTAGAGCTGAGAGTCCAGCAACTCTAAATTATGTCCTGTTACAGAAGAAAGAAAACCTCATGTAGGACTGCGTGCTGGAATTTCGTACATTTCTCACACTCTACTATATCCTTTGTCTGAGGTCCTTGCACTAAGCTCTTACAACCCAAGTACCAAATCCATACCATTCTGATGACTTGATTGTATGGGAGCAGTAGAACTCTTCTGTGGCGTACTGTTTAGTGTCGAGACATCTCCTGGCAACACTGCCAGTTGGCTTCTCTCAAGTTCGGATTTACATCTGTTAGAAAAGGAATTTTGAAATGTGCTCTAATTATAGAAAACAGCAGATGAATTATAGAAACTATACATTTCTAATTACCTATACATCATCTAAAAGACTGAAACCCCCTAAAAAATTTTGATATTACAAATTACATTTGACTATTCCAAAGTACAAAGTGCAAATACCAACATAATGTCCTACATTTTGTTATTATTTATAAAATACAAAATTACACCACAACATTTATAAGAGCATGAAAAGAAAAAGGAATATATTATTTGAATATTACATAAATAACATTAACCTGGGCAGCTAGGTGATGTAGTGGATAGAATGCTGGGCCTGGAGTCAGGCACACTGTCTTTCTGAACTCAAATATGGTCTCAAACACTTACTAGCTGTGTGACCCTGAACTTAACCTTCTCTGCCTCAGCTTCATCTGTAAAATGAGCTGAAGAAGGAAACGGCAAACCACTCCAATTTCTTTGTCAAGAAAACCCAAATGAGGTAGGCACAAAAATTGCATAAGACTGAACAACAATAACAAGAAATTAACCTAGAAGCCTCGCCATTCTCAAAGAACCAATTAGTATTACAAGGTACCCAGGCAATCAAATCCATAGATTCACATTTACAAGTACCTGTTATCTATATATCAGGCACAGGGAATACAAAAACTGAAAACAATTCCTACTATATCAAGGAGATAAGACAATAAAGCAACTTGGGATCAATATAAACCTATTAGGATAGGAGTGGAGAATATCCAGTTTCCACTTCAGATCTAGCCCATGGTTTAACTTTATCTAATTCTAGTTACTGACAATGAAGAAAGAAATAACTGCCAATTTTTATTATTGCCACTAAAGGCCCACATTTGGCCTATGATAATTGGTGGGATAGAAGATAGAAATGAAAGGAAAGAGAACTGCCGGGAACAAGGTCAAATTAACACTAAAAACTTCCCACTGGCACAGAAAATCTTAGAATGGCATTAGCATCTTCTTTGCAAAGAAAAGTGATGGATATTGTAACATTATATCACTTCTGCACCTTAGACTGAAAAAATGGATTCTCAAAGACACAAATCGTGTCCTGTTACCACCTAACTGAAACTGACTCCCAACCCAGCTTCTTTCTTTTCTCTACCAGAACATGTTGTCAAATCAGATGGCTGTTACAGTAGTTAGAAGGGTAGTCTTTGAGTTAGGAAGTTTCAGAAACTTCCCGGATACACATGTAACCATAACCCTGTGCACCTCTCACTGCCTGTTTCATTTGTTTAAAAAAAACATATAGTTAACATTAGCACCTATCTCACAGGATTGTTGTGAGGATAAAATGAGATATTTTTAAAGTACTTCTTACCAGCCAAACATATACCCCTCAGATTACTCATAGAGGGAGGTTACATAAGAATTACAAGAATGCTACTCAAAACAGCTTTGAAAATGTGAGAAATTGCTTTCAGAGTGAATTTACATTATATATGTTTTTTACATGCCATGTAAAAGAATCCCAATACTAACATTATTACCTAGGTTGATCTTCAGCTTCAGTGGGTCTATGATCTTTCCTGAATTCTGCAAAGGATTCATACCTTCTCATCTTGGGCAAATTCCAACCATAGTATTCAGCACAGATCCAGTTTGATCACTTGACAGTTTACCAGCTTTAGCCCCAAAATATGTTTTGCTACTTTCAGAAAATCAAATTGACCATCAGAAAGAAAGCCTGGCTATCACTAAGTATGTTAAAAATACTATGCGGGCAATTCCAAAAAGTTCCAAAGAGCAACAACATTATTAAAGTCTGGACTCACTTGAGGGGATGGTTGAGCCTATGGAAGGTTTCCTAGGGATGACAGACTTGGGCATGTTTGAAGGCAACAGGGAAAGAACCAGTAAACAGAGAGAGGTTAAAGGTGAGAGGAGAGAGAGAATAAAGGGAGGGAAAAGGTAACTGTCAGATAATACTAATAAAAATTCCCAGGTTTAAATTTGGAAGAATTGGTTAAAGCAGTACTTCAGTTCCTGTGATTGCTTCTTATTTTGACAAGAATCCATTTTGTTGGGGGGAGGGGAGAATAAAAAGCACCTGGATTATCATTTGCAAGTCCAACTAGTCCAATTTGGCCCTAGTAGCATACTGCTTTTGTTACATACATCACGAGTTGTTATAAGGCACATGGACCCCTTGAATTTTTGTAATGAAAAACCAGTAACAGGAATAAATGTCAAATACTAAAACTCTTCCCAAGATTAATATTTGGTTAACTAAACAAAATAATTAATTTCCTAAAACTGGTACTGGACAACAGGACAGATATGTACTTTTTACTGTACATATACTTTATGTCACAGTTTCGCTCAATGTAATACTTATAGAATAATAGCTAACATGTATGTATATAGCACTTTAGGGTTTGCAAAGCACTTTGCAAACATTATCTCATTTTATCCTCACAACAACCCTGGGAGATAGATTTACTACTATCCCCATTTTACAGATGACAAAACTGAGTCAGATCAAGGGTAAGTGATCTGCCCAGGACCATAAAGCTAATGCATGTTTGAGCAGGATTTGAACTCAGGTATTCCCTATCCTAGGTGCAACACTCTATTCATTTTGCCACCTAGGTACCTCAGCAGTGGAGAGCTGGAAAGTACCAAAGGAATTAATTATGCCACACTAGTGGTACTATGGAAGGAATGCTGGATTTGGAGTCAGATAATCAAAAATTTAGGATCCTCTGATCTCTGAGCCTAACATTAGTCATCACAGTAACATCGATTTAAGATATAAAGTCCATTTAATTCAACACTTTCATTTTATAGATGATGAAACTAAGACCCAGATATATAAAGTGACTTGTCCAGGTCTCCCTGGGCCAGTTTCCTCATACGCAAAATGAGAAATTTAGACCACAAGATTTCCAAGCTCCTTCCCCGCTCTAAATCTGTGATCTTAAAATCCAACCCTAGAAAGGTCGTCACTCAGGTAAAAAGCCCAGTCAAAATATGAGGCTAGGCCTTACAGGTTCGGAGATTAGAGATGGAAAAGACTTTGGAAGTCAAGTCTAACCCTTGTCATTTTATAGGTGAGGAAACTAAAGACAAGAGATTGTGACCTGCACAGACAGTAAGTTTGAAAGCTAGAATCAGAACCTAGGGAGTCTGACTTCAAATCCTGCACAAATACCTACACCATGATACTTCTCAATTGACCCAATCTTTGTAATAAACCATAACACACAGATTTCCAATATAAAGGGTGTGCCAAAATTCTTAAAGTAGTTTTGCAGCTTTAATACCCTATTAAATTAATAGTTTATTATTAGATTTCTTCTAAATTAAAAGTCTAGCTTCCACAAAAAAATTTAAAACTACAACAAATTTAATTAAAAATAAAAAGCTGAAACAACTTTCTAAAACACTCATCCAAAGAGTTACCTTTTAAGTTCCTGTTCCAGTTTTTCTATTTGCTTTTTGCTTGAATTTAGCTGTCCTTCTTGGAAATTCACTTGTGACTCTTTAACCTGAAGCTCATGAGAAATCTTCTGCCTCATTTTCTCCAAATTATCACATGTTTCCATCAAGCTCTGATTCTCCCTTTTGAGGGTGGCCCCTTCATTTTTCTGATCATCAACCTAGTTAAAATTGTCAGAAATATTTTTAGGAATTTAAAATAAGGAACTTCTTTCTAAATTTACCAAACTTGCTGCCAAAGTTAAAGCATTCATCAGTCAATAAGTAACATACTGAACAAAAATTTAAGGTCTTATATACACAAGTCACTAGTTTTCTACTTCTGGAATTTACAATCTAGTAAAAGTGACAATCACTAAAAGAAAATTTACTGCTAAGGTATTTTATTAATCATGGTTTTTTTTCTTTTAATTAAGGAGACTTTCAGGTTAACATGTTTTGAATCCTAAAAAAAAAAAATTAAGATTTAAGAAGATCACCCAGGCATAGCTGTTGCCTTCATGCAGGGCTGCACTTATACTATTACAGATAAATGAGACTGCATTATATTTTTAAATTCTTCAGTAAAAAGAAACCCCCTCCAAACCTTCCTAAGAAAACTATTCCAATGTTCAACAGCCCTGTGAGCACATTCTCCTAGTGCCATGGAAATAAAAAAAAAAATTATGGAAAAGCAGAAGATTGCTTCTGGCACATAAAAAATGAGGAGACATATTAATATATATAATTTTAGAACAATACATAATTACTTGGCAAGTACATTTTTGGTCACAAATTTTAAAATATATTTGCTTCTAGTTGGCAATCAAAATAATTGTTACTAATTAGACCTAGTACACAATTAGGAGATTATACAAATCATATTTTCATTTTCAAGCCCTAAGTTATTTTATTTGTTTTTAATTATTCCAAGTGAAAAATCTGTGTGGGACAGAGACCACCTACCCAAACTAAAAACCAGAGTCCTGACAAAAGTTTGCAAAAAGGAGGAATCTCTTTATTGACTTTCTCGATAAAGGGCACCCCCGTGCTGCCTAAGCTGCCCCAAGAGTGCAGGTGCTCTTTGTTTAAGGCAAGATTACATAGACCCTAACTCAGCAGCCCACCCTAACCCCCTTCCCGTCGGCTCATTGGCTGAGCCTCAGGTGTACAATCTATTCGTGTAAAAACTACCCCAGTAACAGAGAGAACAAAGAGGTATAGAAATTATGTTAGCATGTTCCCCTTTTCAGGGCCTCACAGTTTCAGCAGCCTTTTACCCAAGGTCACACAACTAGCTAGAGGATGAACAGACAGGATGCTCTTATGGCTCAGGAATTTCTGCCAACACTGTCTAAGAGTAGGGGAGGGAGAAGGCTAGGGGAGGGGGTCTTGTATTCTGAGGGGTCTTCACTTAGTGTTGGTACACATGTACCACTCAAAAGCAACAATACCAGAACCATTAACAAGCACTAATGACCCTCTGAGGAGGCTTCACTTCTGAGAGATCATCTCTCACAAATCTAAGATACCACCCAATCTACCTGAGAAAGAGAAACGTCACCTCCATTTCCACTATCTGTTAACAATGATTTGCCATATTAGATTCTAAGCCAAGAACTTCTGGATTATTAGTCAAGACTTCTGGAGTACTTCCCAAAATAAGCTCTTAAGAAGAAGACTGAATGGGACTCAGGAACTCCCAACATTAGAAAGCTAAGGAATTTAGAATTGAAAAAAAGAACTAAAAGATTATAAAAAAAAAACAGTAAGTGACCTATAATAACAAAAACATTTTTCTCAAAATATAAGACAATAGAATGACTCACCATTTTATACAATGAAAATTAAAAGGTAAGCAAGAAATAATAATACTTGCCTCTCCCCCAGTGATGCTTAAACAATCATATATTACCTTCTGCTTCTGCTTTTGCAGGGCAGCCTCCAGGGATTCCAGCTGAAATTGTCTTTGTTGTCTTTCTTTCTTCAGCTTCTCTAGCTGTCCTTCAAGCTCTTGAATTTTTTGAAGGGCTCTGGTAGACAGACCTTCTTTCCATTCCTCCAAAGCCCAACTCATTTTGTTCTACCTTGTTTATTACTCAATCAATATTTAAAAATAAGTTGAAAAGGAGAATCCAATCGCTCCTGTATTATTAAGGGGAAAAAATGATAAAAACAAATAAAAATAAAAAAGGAATTCAGTCTCAGAGACTAAACAGTCTGTTCCCATCCAAGTTCTGTAGAGGTAAGTTAAAAGTAACATCCAGCTAGCACAGAATACACAGAGCAGGCATTTAAATGTTACATCTCAGGCATAAAATGAACAACTCGCCTGGCTATGGGATTCCAGTTACCGACCTGGAGCTATTTTTCTCTTTCCACTAAATCAACAATAATTTTGAACAGAGACACTTAGATAGGGTACAATGACAAGTTAGTAATAGCTCCTTTTTTGTCCCTGCTTCTTCTAGCCCATGTCTTTTTTTATATCTTAATTTTGACTTCTTATATAGTTTTCTACTTTTCCGTTGCTTATGAAGCAAGGTATTTAGTGTTATATATAGTATTATGCATTTATTACTATAATAAGAAATGTGATTTTTCAGAATACATGCTATTACTGTTCTGAAGCACACATCAAGGCTATACATGTTCCCGATGCCAGGTGAGTGTTTTCCTCTGTATATGTGTCAGCAGTTTGTACTTCAAATTGATCTGTCTCCCTCTCAGCCACTTCATACCTCACTATAATGACCATAATCTTTTTTCTCTTGTGGGGTGGGGGCGGGGGGAGGGTAGTAGAGATAAAAATATTCTGATCCTTTGTTTCAGGTACATGACAATGAAGCCATTATGATAGAAAAGGTAACAGTAACTTCAAGCTTATTATCTATGGTAAAAAGTATATGGCTTAGTTCAATTGAATCAGATCTAGAGGACTCTAAAACTTCATTTTCTGTTATGCCTCCATCCCTCTAGAACCTTAGGACTGAAGTTGTTTCTAGCATCATTATCAAAACTAACAAGTGGCTAAAGAGCCCGGTGCTGTTTGTGTTAAGAAGCAGTGAAAGGCAATAATGACAGAAACGCAAAATAAAAATTATCCTGAGGTTAACACCTCATACTATTCTAAAAGACTGGAAAACTCATGGCTAGAGAGAGGAGCAGTGAACTGGCTCAAACATTCTAGAAAAGTTTGGAATTGTGCAAGAAAAGTTACTAAATTGTTCAAATTCCACCTCAGATACTACTACACCTCTGGGACTTCCAGACAAGTCACTTACCCTCCCTTGACCTCAGTTTCCTCATCTATAAAATTAAGGGGTTGGATTAGATGGCCACTTAGGTCCCTTCCAATTCTAGACCTAAGATGTCTGAACAAATTATGGCATGTGAACGTAATAGAATATTATTATCCTAAAGACACAAAAGGAAACAATTCCAAGGGAGAAAAATAGCATTTGTCTGGAGAGACAAACGCAGATCCATGGGGAATTTAACAACCCACTAAGATTTACTTAAAAGAAATGTACGGAAGATAGAAGGAAGGCCAGAGAACAGAGATCATGTATACAAAATCAAGTCAGGGTCCTGGAAATATAGCATCAGAAATACTAAAACTCAGAATAAGCCAAGGCTGGTGAGGGAAGCTAAGGACTACGATGACGACGACGACAACGACGACGACGACGACGACGACGACGACGACGACGACGACGACGACGACGACAAAAAAAAAAGGAAGGGAGGAAGGTTAGCTGTAATGGGAGAAAAATGAAAACTAAAGAGATAGAATCTTTGCTTAGGGTGAACAGAATCATGACACCAACAAAAGAGAAAAGAAAGATTCAATTCTTTGTTGCTTTGATTTATCTGCCAAGAATGGCCTAGAAATACAGAAATGAAAAGTACACAAATGATTATCAAGGAAGTGATGCCCAAGATAATGAGACAGTAAGACAGCACCTTGATGCTTCCCTTGATGAATTCAAGTCACCTGGCCCAGACAACTTACATCTTCGGGTACTAAAGAACCGGCAAAAGGGATTGCTGGGCCACTATCAATATCCTGAAGATCATGGAAAATAAGAGACGTACCAAAAGACTGAAAAAAGACAAATGTCTCAGTTTTCAAAAAAAGGAAGTGACAGAGTCTGCAAACTATATGCCAGTGAGGTTAGCTCTGATTCTCAGGAAATTCTAGAATAATTCATTAAAGAAATGGTGAAAGAAAGCAGTGAATATAAATAGCCAGTATGACTTCATCAAGAACAGATTATGATAGACTAACTTCATTTTCTCTTTTGAGAGGATCACTCCATGCTACAGATATAAATTACCAAGATTTCATAACACTTGACTGTGTGAAAGGTATATAAAATATACAGAGAAGAATGTAATCAGATGGATTCAGAACTGGTTGAATGACTGGGCACAGTTGTTGTTAATGGTTCACTGTCAACATTAAAGATCTCTGGAAAAGTACCTCAGTATTGTGATTGGCCCTGAACTGTTTAATATTTTTATAAATGAACTGAATAAAGGGATAGATGGTGCTCAATAAATTTGTTGACACAAAACTGGATGGTATAGCTAACAAAGTGAATGAGTCAGAATCCAAAAAGATCTTGACAGGTGAGAAAATTATTAGGCTGAATCTAATCATACAATTAGACACAAAAATTAGCTTCATGAGTAAAGGATGAGGGAAGTATGGATAGAGAGCAGTTGCTCTGAAAAAGACCTAGGAGTTTTGGACTACAAGCTGAATTTAAGCAGTGTGATGTAGCAGTCAAAAAAGCTAATGTGATCTTGGGCTTGATAAAAAGAGCAGCATAGCTTCTAGAAATAGGGAGGTACAATCCCATTGTACTCTGTCCTTATCAAAGCTCATCACCCAAAGCATTACTTTCAGTTCAAAGCACAAAAGTTTAGGAAGAACACTGATATGCCAGAGAGCGTCCAGAAGGGACAACCAGGATGGTAAAGGGCCTTGAGTCCATGACATGAGAGAATCAGTTGAAGGAACTAGACATGTTTAGCCTAGAAAAGATAAGACTCAGGGAGACGTTATAGCTTCCTTCAAGTATCTGAAAAGTTGTCATGTAAAAAAAGGATTAGATTTATTCTGTTTAGCTCCAGAAGGCAATATGAGAAGCAAAGGGTACAAGTAGCAGAAAGATAAATTTAGTCTTGATGTCATGAAAAGAATTTCTAACAAGTTAGAGCTCTGCATAACTGGAATATGCTACCTAGAAAACTAGTAGGTTTCACTTCCTTGGAGATCTTCTAGCAGAGGATAAATGATAATTTATCCAGCATGTTATAGCAGGGATTACTCTTGTGTAGGGGTTAGACTAGTCGACTAGTCCTCCACTGAGTGCAACTCTAACTCTCAAATTCTGATACTTCACTGTAAAGAAGGACCAAGAGTAATCAAAGAAACATGAGATTACTTGTGTGAAATAATAAAGAGTGAAGAAAGTAGAGCCAAAAAATATCATACTCAATGACAATAATGTTAATAAAGTCAATATCAAGAGGAAACGAAACTGTTTAAATACAGCAATCAATGTTAGCACTATTCTGTAAAAATTAAAATCCACACACTTTTCTTCTGTACTTTGTAGTGATGTTTATTTGGGTATCTGCTGGGACTAAACAAAATGTATACAATTTTAAAAGTCTTTTTTTTTTAAGTAATGAAAGGACCAAAGCTCATAAGAGAGGGAGACAACAAAGGACCAAGCTCATTCATTAAGTATCAAATCCTTAAAAAAGAGTTTTGGCTGTAGATAGAATAATCTATTTTATCTCAGCTACTTTACAAAGAGTCACTCAGCTACTCATAGCTCTATTGCAGCCTTGTTCTCCCAAAGAAACCTTCTTAAAGTGATGTTTAAAAGCTTCTCTGCCCAACTACCTTAGATATCTTGCAACACTGAAACCAAGTTTGTCTGTCCAAATGAGATGCTATCACTGGCACCCAAAAACTTCAACGTTTCTCAAATAATTTATAATACCCAAAACTGCTAGGATTCCATAAACAGGGTGACTTAAAAAAAGCAAAAGTCACAGGTAGTACAAATTTATTATTTACAAGACTGGCCATTTTTAGGAACCAGGGAATATGAACTAGGTCAGGGATACTGGAAATGCTAGGAGCAGTCAAGGATTCAGGCTTCATCACCATTTCCATAGGAACAACTCACAGTCATAAGAGCTTTCAGTTTGCAAAGCACTTCCCTCACAACCATCTGGTGAGCCAGACAATCCCTCTTTTAATGGAGTTATCCTTTCCCTAGAGCAGAACTACTGTTGCTAATTGGGAAGAAAAAGAAAATCAATCATCTTCTAGCTAGTAAACTTCCTCGTCTTCTTTAAATGTCCAAGATACTTAAGCAAAAGAAAAAAAAAACCTTTCCTGCTACCATCTATCATCCCCAACTACCTCTATCTTCACCCTCCATAGTTCCTATGTCCTGCTCTCCCCTCCCCTTCCACTGTGCCTTCTGGAAACCTGTTCTAGCTTTCAATTACTTAGAGAAACTTATCCCTCCCACTTCCTACTCCCCCATTACTCCAAAACCTCTCCTTTGAGATTCAATAAAATCTGTCCAAACATGGTTGTTTTTACCTAGCAGCTCCCATTCTTCCTCTTTTCTCAAGAAGTTCAGCATCAGGCTCAGTCTTCCTTGATATAGATAGAGAGGGAGAGATAAACATATAGATATATCTTCATATCTATCTATGTCTATAGAAAAAGACAGAAATAGTGATGTCTACATCTCTATGGGGGGGAGGCTGATTTCGACATTGCTCAAACACAGACTCATCTCTCCCCTGATCTATACCTTCATCAACCTCAGCTTCTACAAAAGGATAGGTTGTGCTCTGAATCTCATTATCACACTTAAATGTTGTTTGAGGCTTTATGATCTAGAACTCTGGAATAAACCTCTCTCCAACTACAACTTCCTATCCTCTCATTCACCCTCACTCCCTCTAACCCAATTCTTCCTACTTACCAGAACTCCACACCCTCCCCCCTGCTCTCCCAAGTTCATCATCCCTTCTTCAACTTTAAAATCTTAACCACACAATTAACCTTTTCAACTCCATCAAATTTTTACTCCTTTGTCCTATCTCTCACCACTCAGGCCTGTGTTACCCCCGCCCACTCAACTTCCCCTTTCCTATTCTACTGCATGCTGCTGAAGAATGCCTCCCAAAGTAGCAGTTCAAAACCTTACCTTTTCTCTTCAGAGAAATACTTTTCCATTTTCCTTACCCCTCACCCTTTAACAGAAGATCTGGCCTAATACATTATGAGGAAAACGGAAGGCATCTCTCCTGATACCTCCCTCTGATCTCCAATTCTATCTCAAAACCCTGACATGCTTCCCCATTCTCTCCTCCTTTGCTCCAGTCTCTAATGAAGAGGTGGTGCCTCTTCTTATCAAGCCTGATCCCTCCTAGTTTTGTCCTTGATTCCATCTCTTACAGGAGCTTGGCAGATGAATCATTCTTTCTCCTCTTTAATCTTCTTTGTACACTGGTTCCTTCCCTGTTCCCTACAAACATGTCCAGATCAGCCTATCCTTAAAGAAAAAAATTTCATTTCATGCCACCATCCCCCTCAAGCTAACATCCTAAATTAAAGTGCTCATCCTTTTCACAGACAAATTCATAGACAAAGCTTTCTGTACTCATGTCCATTTCTTCACCTCCCACTCATTTCTTAAGCTTTTCCAATAAAGTGTCTCAACCCAACACTGAACTGAAACTGTTCTTTCCAAGGCTACCAAAAATTTCTTACTTATTAAATCTTTTCCTAGTCTTTATCCTTTGTTATTCTTCTGACATCTTAGGTACTCTCATTACTACGTTTATGACAGTGCTCCTAACCGTTTACCTCCAATTTATCTAACTACTCCTTAACAAGTGTCCTTTGCTAGATCATTCAACAAGTATCAGTCAGGTGGCAGGTACTACACTAGTCAATGGACAAAGACAAAAATGAGAGTCCCCACCCTTAAAGAACACATCTATCGGTCAGACAGATCCGAGAACCCTGAGCTTGCCCTAGGAAAGTGGGTTTGGGAATCAGTAAGGCATTCCCATGAAGGATACACATGGTATGGATGGGAAGGAAGAGACCTTGGGGTAAAGGAGAAGGTTGCAGGGACAAAAAAGAAAAAAAAATAGGCATCATGGATAGTGATGGGAAGGCACAAAAGTGACCCTGACATCCCCCCGAGACACACCATACCCACACCCTGAATACGTGACCCATTCCTCCAAATACAATATGCCATAAAGCCCTCAACACACACACACACACACACACACACACACACACACTCACAGTTCCTTAGCCATATATGTATCACTAAGATCATCTCAGGGTCATTACTCTCACACAGACACCAAGTCTCACAGATAATTGACATGCGGACATTCATATTCTAACCCACTCACAAAATAAAAGGCCCTCTCACCACTTTCCAGTTTGATAGAACTAGCCAACATTACTTTGAGGAGATCCTCAGGAACCTCCATGGAAGACTGGGGCAGGCACCCAGGCAAGTGTCCTGCTCTGTACTCTCCCAGTGAGTGTATGATGTCTGTGTGTATGTATGTATGTCTGAATGTATCTTGATGAGCGTGTCCTGAGGGAAGACGTAAGATGTCTGTGCGTGCCTGTGTTATGTTCAGTGAAGGCACTCATGTCAAGCCTTTTCACTCATGACTCAATCTCAGGATAGGAGGCTAGGAACTCTTTAAAGAAGGGTCCTTTAGGATCTTGTCCCACTTATCTGTGTGCCCTTTAAGTGCCTATAATCCCCCCCAAGCACACTAGCTTAGAGGATGAGGGTATGTAAAGACCCTGAGAAAAGGAACAGCAACAGGGACATCAGAAGGGGTCAGGCACAACAATTGCTCAGGAAGATAAATGGTAGATGAAGACACTACAGCTCTCTTGTGGGAAGGTCCAACAGAGTAAGTAGGGATCAGGAGGGATGATAAGTAGAGAACCTAAGGACCAGGTTAGAGGGGCAAAAGGCTGAAGGAGGGCCCTTTGGGGCTTATAAATGCTCACCCCATTCCAAAATCCCAACCCTGGATTACTCCTACCATGCAGCAAATATATGAAACTGTCTGTTTGGGGTCATGCTCATCTATCAGATCATGGTAGCTGTTGCCAAGACTCCAAGTCATTCTCCTTTCTCAAGGATTTTAGTGCCCGATTCAGATTCTTCTCCCCAACTTCAGTCCTCACATTAGGAGAGGTTAACATTCACACTGATGCTCCTTCAAACATTCTAATCTTTCAGTGATTCAATAGCCTGAAATCTAATGACCTACTCCTCCATTCCACCTCGGTAACAGAGACAGTCACATCATGAATCTCCATTACCCACAAGTGTTCCACTTCTGTAATAACTGACATCCGTCTATCTGACCAGAACTTACCATTCCATCTCTCCTCTTATCTCACACCCATCCTAAACGTACTATGCCTGTTGCGGTTCAAGGGTGCTGGGAACCCCGAAATTCAAAAGCAAAAGGTGCAGGTTCTTCAGTTAGAGATAACAATAATTGGGGTAGGTGAAATTTTAAAAATCTGCACATTTGTGATGCTTCTATTGACAAGGGACAGGTTTTAAGAATCTGACCTATTTGTGCTGCTAATAGCAAAGGGGCCAGATTTTAAGAAGCTGAACCATTTAATGGGGGCTCAAGATGAACCGAGAGAAGATATGGATGGGATCTAGGAGTGGCTAATAGACTGGGGTGACCTAGAGGTAACAGAGAAGTGGTCTAGATGGAATTCAGGGAGAGAAACAGCCTGGGGTGGTCTGGAGGTAACAGAAAAGGATGGTTGGGCTGGGTCAGAAGTAACAGAGAATAAAGGGTTGGGAATGGGGTCACTAAGAAAGGTCAGCTAAAAGAATTATTGGGATGGGTGATGCTTCGGGTGAAGGCCAGAGATCTGAGTTTAGGGACTGGGTTGTGTGAAAAGTTTCAGGGGCTTTTCCTTTTTGGGGTCCAGATCCTATCCCCATCACTCCCATACTGTATCCTCCAAACCCACAACCAATAAGTAACCTCTTCTCAATCTCAACACTATTAGCTAACCAGTTAAACTCCAAGATGTTTTTTAATGGCTTTCTCCCTTGTCTTATTGTCACTCATCCTTTGCCAAATCCAAACATTGTGTTATTATTCTCACCATTTACTCTCAAACTGCTGAATAGAGCTAAAGCAAATCACACAACTAAGCTGTGTACACAACGAGTTTTTCTAACCGCAAACGGGCATTCATAGCCACAAGGCAATTCCCTCACTCCTGCCTAAATTGATTCCCCTACTCACTCCCCCACATAATCTATTCAATTGTCTTCTCCTCGAGCCAGTCCACAGCTCAATCTCCTTCCACCTTCTCAGCTGAAGGCCTTATCCATTACTTAATGAAAAAACTGAGGCCTCTTGCAATGAACTACTCCTCTCAAAACCTTCATCTTAAAACCCTCAGCCATCATCCCATTCTATCTAGAGAAGTAGTTTCAAAGAAAACTTGCAAACTCAATATAAACTGACGCAGTAAAATGATTTATACAAAAATAACAATATTGTAAAGAAAAACAGCTTGGAAAAATTTAAGAACTCTGATTGATATAGTGTAGTGACCAAACACAATTCCCGAGCCAGTGCTGAAGTACACTACACACTTCTTGACCAAGATGACGGATACAAACTGCAGAATGAGACAATCATTTGCGACACGGCCTGCCAAAGGGGGAATTTGTTTTGCTTGACCATGTGTGACTATTTCTATTTGTTACAATGATTTTTTTTCCTTTTTATTTTATTGGGGGTGGAGGCGAAAAGGGAACAAAATAAATACTTCATTTTAAATTTTAAAAAAATATATGATATTGTGGACAGCAAATATTTTGTGTTATTTTTCAAAAAGATCCAAAAATACGTCAAAATATGCTTTTTACCCCACCATCAAAATAAAATTGTATACTGAACACGGGAAAGAAAAAGTTACAGTGCTTCCTTATTTCTCTCTAGGATAAAACAGAAATGCCTTTATTGGAAGTTTAAAGCCTTTCACAGTCTGATTTGCATCTGGCATTCTCAATCCCATTTCAAACTCTGAACGAGTACAGTAAGCCTTCTAAACCACAGGCCAAAACGAGGGCCAGAGGTCAATCTGTGAAACCTGGGGGCTCTGGAATAGTCAACAAATTCACTCCAATGGGGGGGGGGGGTGCGGAGGGAGTGAAGTCAGTTAGTAAGGGAGGGGAATAACCTAGTCACCAAAAAGGAACAATAGGGATTCCACCACTGCGGACGGGTTGGGATTAAAGGTAAAGATCCCTTCTTTACCAGGGGAGGGGCAGGGATTTCTTAATGAGGGGAAGGGGAATGCAGCAGTTCGGGCAGGAATACCTGGATGGGGGGGGAAGGTAGGGCAGAGAGATATTATGGGGGGATAGGGTTACCTCCATTATGAGGAAGGGGCAGGGATACCTTCATTGCCACGAGGGATGGGGCGCACGGATAGCTTCATTACGGGGGTGGGTGGAGGAAGGAGGAAAGGAAAGGACACCTTCATTAAGGGGTAGAGGAGAGAAACTGGGACTTTTTCATTACACCGCGCAGGGAAGGAGATAGAAATGAATTTCTCCTCCTCTACAGGTCCCGGGGTGCGGAACGTGAGGTGGGGGGACTACCCCTTCTCACGACCTGGGGGTCGTTTAGCAGAAAAAAACTAGCGACCACTTCCACAACCCTTTCCCCCGCCCCGTAAGGCAAGAGTCTACCCCAGTCCTTACCTTACCCGACCTCCAACGAAGGCCCTGAAAGCTGGGGTGCAGGGTTCACCACCCCACGAGCCAAAAACACTCGTAGATTCAAACCTGGCGCCGCCTCCGCTACGTCAGTTACGTTTAACAGCGCAACCGTGCGTGGAGCGATCTTGTAGCTCATTGGTTCAGCTACTCCGCGGGAGGACCAATCCGCTTCGCACTCCAGGTACACAGCCTCTGATTGGTGCATTTGCATGGTTTTAAAAAACAATCCAGCAGCTGACTTGTCTCGGAGGGTTGTTTGGCCGGAGCTTTTCTGGTCGTTGTGTTTGTGTGTTTGCTGCCTCGTTGTTAGCTGCTGGGTTGAGGTCTGAGAGCTGACGCCGGGGATTATCCTTGGTATTGTCCCGGAGCCTTCTCGAGCCGTCTTGTCCTTTTGAGCAGGCTGCTCATTTGTGAGCTTTGGGCATCTTTGTGGCGTGCAAACCTGCTTTCCCTTGTCACAGATGGTGGAGCTCTTCTTCCCTGCTCCCTTCCTCATTTTCCACTTCTGGGTTATTTCACTAGTATTCTGCCAGAAGCATTATTAGTCATTTCCGACCCGTTTAAATATTCTTCTTTTGACATAGCTATAGGATTTTTTCCCCAGTAAATAATAGCTGGACCATTTAAGCAAAAATAATGAAGCCAAGTACGAAATCTTTTACTAATGTGCTAGTTTAGAGCTGGGAAAGATTGCGTCCAACCATCCCCTTTTAGCATGTGAAAAAATGAAGCTCTGGGAAGGCTATATGGAGTAATGGAAAGAGATGGAAAAAATGGTGGGGTAAAAGCATATTCTGACGTTTTGTATCATTTTAAAAGTAGCACAAAGATACACAAAATAACAATAATTTATGGTTGAATGTAGGACACGTTCTAATTTGCAAAGCACGTTCCATGTAATAAGCCTTACATCTTCAAAAAAGGTAATTTGCTTTAATTGTCTCCTGTTATTTTCCAGGGTTCAGATACTCTGTTGTTATTCAGTCGTTTTTTCAGTTGTGTCTGACTCTTTGAGACCCCATTTGGCGTTTTCTTGGCAAGATACTGGAATGGTTTGCCATTTCCTCCTCCAGCTCATTTTACAGTTGAGGAAACAGGCAAACATGGTGAAGTGACTTGCCCAGGGTCACATGGCTAGGAAGTGTCTGAAGTAACATTTGAACTTAGGAAGATGAGCCTTCCTGACTCCAGGTCTGGCACTCTATCCATGAGCTCTTTAGATACTCTGGAAGAGTTGGAAGAGAGTCTGGAAGAATCTCTGGAAGAGATTGATGTTTTGGCAAGATTTAATATTTGGCAAAGCAATATTCAAAGGACCCTCAGAATATATAAACTCTGGGGTAAGCAAAGCACCTGAGTAGCGTGAGGTTTAGTTAATAAAGGAAAATTAAGAGTGTATAAGCCACCATAGCACATGGAATAAATGAATAAAATTTATTAAGCCTTTAACTGTATACCAAAAACTATATTAAAAGCTGAGGATACAAATTCAAAAGGGAGAGAATCCCTGGTTCAAGGAAGTTACATCCTATCAAGACAATACATGTAAGGGAATGTTTCCAGAGAAGAGTTTTTTGGTTTGGGAACACAGGGATGATTAGACATCTACTGCCACATCTTTTCCAGAGGCAATAATAGAATTGCAGTTTTGATTTGATTTTCTTTTACCAGACTCATTGGTGGGAATGGAGGGGATTGGAGAGTGAGATGGAATGAGAGAGTATGGACCTAAGATGGTAGAGCAGCAAGGTGCAGCAGAGTGAGCTACTGCTCCCTCACCCCAACTCCTCCAAACAGATCTAGAAGACACAATAGATCCAATACTGATGAGGAAATCCAAGGGGAAAAAAATCAAATGAGACACGACCCAGTCCCAGATCACAGTTGCAGAGCAGACTGAGGAAAGGATCTGTATACAGGGGTTATGTTCCACGGTGAGGAGTTATGGCAGATGTGCTATGTACCACGCAAGGAAAAAATTCAGAAGCAAGCAATAGACAAGTGGCTTCGAACCCTGGAACAAGACAGGTCTCACATCTAGATTCCAGGCTTCAGAATGGCCTAAAGAACAGAAATCCCAGACTAAAGGGAAGCTTTTAGTTCTGTCACTGTGAACCAGCAGAGCTTCCCAGCTAGATGATAGTGGCTGAGTCCTGCTATTGTTAAACCCAAATCCAAGCTGGGTGGGGTGTTGGGGAGGCCATGGGGACACTGATCAAATTTTGCCCTAGATCAGACCACTTTGGGAGCACTAAAAGCTTGCAAGTCCTCAGCCTGAGTTGTCCCTGATGTCCTAGAATAACACCATATTCAATACCCTAATAATATGGCAGGAGGACCAGCCTAGACCTTTCTTCCAGAAGTGCACAGAACCTGACCTTAACATAAAGTAGTTCAAATACAAAAGTGAAGAGGAACATAAACATGAATGAAAAATGATAAAGAGCTAAATAAGGATCAACTGTTTACATCCAATTGAGAGGAGATGATCTATGTGTCCATTATGAACACTACCATCAAAGGCAATAGAAGCAGTCTAATTAGACAAGGCCAGGGAATGTTTCTGTTATGTCTCACTGATTTTAAGAGAAGAATGGAAAGAGGAAAAAGAAAAATACACTGGGGGGTGGGCGAAAAGGAGGAAAAGTGAGGGGAAATTATCTCACATAATCATGGTATGAAAGCAGACATCTACAAAAATAAAGAGGGAGTGGGGGGAGCAGCCCATTCCCTCCTTATTTTTGTAGATGTCTGCTTGAACTTAAACTTCATTCTCATTTAACTAGTCAAAAGAAGGAAGAATACATACATACACATACACCTAGTTGGGTATAGAAACACATTTCACTTACCAGGGAATTAGGAAGAAAAGGAGAGAATGGGGAAGGAGGAATTAGAAGAAGGGTAGACTAAGTAAGGAAATCATCCTAAGCAAAACAAACTCTAAAGAAGCACAAAAATATTTATAGCTCTTTTTGAGGTAGCAAAGAATGGGAATCTGAGGGGATGTTCATAAATTGAGGAATGCATGAACAAGTTATGGTTTGTAAATGTAATGAAATATAAGAAATTATGGAGAGGGTTTCAGAAAAATCTGAGAAGACTGGTGTGTATAAACTGATGTAAAATAAAGTGAACAAAATCATGAGAACAATTTCTATAATGATAACAATATGATAATGACAAACAACTTTGAAAGAATTAGAAACTCTTATCAGCATAATGACCAACCATGATTCCAGAGGACTAATGATGAAACACACTAATCACCTCCTAAGGGAGACTTGAAAGACTCAGACAAATTTTTTTGGACTCGGTGAATATGGAAACTGGTTTTGATTGACTATATATGTTTGTGATAGGTCTTATTTTTTCTTTTGTTCTCAATTGGAGAATAAGATGGGCAAGTGAGAAGGCTGGAGTTTCCTGACTGAAACAAATAATTTTTTAAAGTAATCAAAAGGCAATTTACATAAATGTCTGGCTCAGAAAATCCATGGTTCTTTGCATATGTGTGTTTTTTTAAAAAATCCTGCTTTCATCTGTGCTTTCTCAGATCATAAATATTTTATTGCTACTAAAAATAATGTTGTCATAATACTATGAGGGAATAAGTGAAAATTTAATGAAATAGAGGACCATCAAATATTCCTACTGAAAAGAGCAGATCTGCATAGAAATTTTGAAAGGAGTTATAAGAAACACAAAAAAGTAAATATGAATAAACAAGAATAAAGAACTAAATGTGGATAAACTGCTTACATTCTAATATGAGGAAATAAAACACGTGTCTCCTCTGAACGTTATAATCATCAGCATTTCTTAAAGGGAATTTGATCAGACAGAAGGCCTAGGAGAGGTTCTATCTCTGTCTGGAACATAACCTCTTCTCAATTCTACTAATCCATCCCATTCCAACTTGCTTCATGTCCTATCTGTAATACTCTAGGAATCATTCAAACTGGTCCTCTGGTAACAGGCTCAATATGGAAATAAAATGAGATATTAATAAGTCATTCAAGAGTTAACAAAAGGAGACCTACTTAGCTCTACCAGGAGAAGGATATGCAACAAGCATATCAAGGACATTTGGTTTGATTTAGCAGAAGAAAGCTTCCTACCGCTGTGTTGCCCATGGTGATTTACCAGTTAAGTATCTGAGAATAACTGGAACTCCTGGTGTCTGTTGTGTATTCAGACAACAGCAAGTGATGTCAACGGATTGATCCGTTAGGATGATTCCAACATCCTTTAAGAAAAAATGAACCTGGGGTGGAGCCAAGATGGCGGAGTGAAAGCAGTGACTTGCTTGAGCTCTCCCCCAAACCCCTCCAAATACTCATAAAAAATGGCTCTAAACAAATTCTGAAGCAGCAGAACCCACAAAAAGACAGAGTGAAACAAATTTCCAGCCCAAGACAACCTGGATGATTGATCAGAAAGGTGTATCGCGTGGGGCTGGGAGCGCAGCGCAGCACAGTGTGGGCGCACAGGCCGCAGCAAACCTGGAGCAGGCCTAAGAGGACTGAATCGCAGGCAGCTTTGGAGGTTTCCAGACTCCTCAATCCACAAATGATAAAGACAACTTAGAAGGTCAGTGAAAAGTCTGTTTCTGTCGGTGGTCAGAGAGGAAGGCGGGGTTTCAGCTCCATTCCCCAAGAGCCTGGGGGGGGGGGGCAGCTGCTTCCCGAGCTTCCGGCCCACAGACTGAGGGGGAATCCAGTGGCTGATCAGAGAGGGACTGCAGGGATCTCTTTGCCAGTGCTCAGGCAGGAATCTCTTGCTTTGCCAGTGTGTGGATCTGGGTCACAGTTCTGGGAGGCGGTGCTGGGGTGAGGAGGAGCGCTGGCGTGGTGGAGCTTGGAGTGGCGGTAGAGAGGAACCCCTCCTCACAGTTACAGGACAGAAAGGAATACTTGTGGTCACAGGCCAGGAAAGGAGTAAACACCTCACCCCTTATCATACCACCTTGTGAGAACTGAAAATTTACAGGCCCCTACAAATATCTCTGAAAACAGCTACACAAACCCCTAAAGCTTGGGACAGTACACTCTCCACATTGGAAGCAGA